AGAGTATATTATTTGGTACATTACTGGTATGTTGTAGTATATTGTGGCCAGTTGTTGAACAACAACTATATCCTGTTTATAATGATATGAATCTGAGCCTGTAAAATTTGTTTTGCGCAGAATAATATTGATGTGAAAGCAGATGGTGCCATCAACGATGCAGTCCAAAGTACAAAATTTGAAGAAAATTCTTTGTTAAGCGTCTTTGGCAAGAAAGTGGATCCTGAGAAGTACATAAAATCTGAAGAGGAAAAAAAACTTGCAATTAAGGTATGTTATCATTTATTGTGGACTTTTGGTGAAGCAAATGTATTAACCGTGTACAAATTGTATGAATCTGATATATGGTAAAAAAATTTGGTCAGGATCAAATTGTTGAAAAAGAAGATGTTGTCATGGATGATGTAGTTGGTTGTGAACCACTAGAAGAAGGTCATATATTAAGAATCTCACCTGAGAAAGTGGTACCTGATAACTACATAGATTCCGAAGAGCACAAACAGCTTGCTGCTACATTGATGGCGACGCCTAAACGAGCAGGCATTGATTTATTACCAAGAACTGATAAGGAGAAGTTTGTGTTGTTCCATCGTACACTAACCAAATTTTTGGATCTGTAAGTTACACTCAGTCTTGATTCTCTTTCATATCTGAATTTTTATAAATTTGTTGTTTCCAACAATGTACACAAGACCGTGGAGCATAAAATTGATAACAAATTCCTGTTGATGCTAGCTAAGTCAAAAAATTGGGTTTCCACAATGGTATGTATTTTGACCAACTTGTGTTTTCACGCTTGTATATATTGTAAAAATATTTTATGAAGTAACGGTTGTAAATAAACTCATCGCAGCACATGGAGGTATTAGTCTCTCTACTTCAGTCTCGACACAAGGAGATTCTGCTATCTGAACGCGCTACTTTTGCTTCACCCTGGCTAATAAACATAATACTCAGCAAGCAGTGCGCATTATGTGCTGCAAAGAACAAGAAGTTGCTTGGTTGGGATGAGCGGTTTAGGACTTATGTGAACGCATCTGATGCTCAGTGGCTTGAAGAAGTGGAAACAGTTTATGTCCCAATGGTTTTGGATGACAAGCATTGGGTTGGCTTAGCAATCAATTTGAAGATGTGGCTAATTGAAGTCCTAGCCACATCTTCAAGAAGGTTAGTACTTCAATTATAAGAAGGTTAGTAAGCTTCTGGAACCCATTTTGGTAATGTTGCCTTACATCATAAGGAAACTGTGTAGTGAACACGGAACCCAGCAACACAGGTACAAGCCGTTTATGTTACAGCGCGCAAGAGGCCACTACAAGAACATCCATTCTGGTGATTGTGGCCCACTAGCGATGAAGCTTTTGGAGTTGCATGCCAATGGTGTCAATAACGACGAAATCACCAATTTAACAGATGTGAAAGTTAATGAGCTTAGAAAGGCCTACGCGATGGACATATACACAGAGGTTGTCCTTCCTCTGTATTTCCCTTAAGCCGATTGCCTTTCAAATTGCTGAACTTGTGCTTCTTATAGGTTATGGATGTGTTTTTTTTTGTTAAGACTATGTTGATCCCCTAGTTTGTTGTTTATGTTTTTTTTGGTACAATGTGTTCGTGGTAATTGTTTAGGAATGTCTTTTGTTGTTTTCACTTAAGACATACATAAAATTGTTCACTGTAGAATGTTTATTGATCAGGCGAACACGCTGTGTTATCCACATTCGTGTGTTTAGGTAAACTGGTTTTGTGTTATCCACATTGTGTTATCCACAGTATTGGATAACACAAAATCGATAACCGGTAGAAATTAGGGCAAGTTGATAAATTCAACATACGAAACCAAAAAAATAAATATAAACCCAATCAAACCAATAAATTAAGTCAAACCTATGCAAATCTTGACAAATTTAAATTTAACAAAGAAAATCAAGATCTACGATTTAACCCATGGAACTCGTGAATTGATAGTTCAACCTAAACCAAAGGATCCCGTTTTTCAGAACGGTGTCCTTACTGATGATACTCTTCTGAAGGTACGGTTGGACAAAAGTGGTGACTTTGTCTGGTGGTATGATCCGATTTTCTTGTATTTTCCATTGTTTCGTAAGTGCCTTAATCTCAGATCCCCTATATTTGGATTTAATGTGGACAAGTAGTAGTGGATATTTATTTGTGGATGTCGTTTAGTTCTAATTCTCTCTATCAATTTGTCATTTTTTTTCATTTTTTTCTACTGTAAACTGCGTCGTTTAGGTGAAGGGGCATATGATTGATTGTAGGTTCGTACACCGCCTCACTGATACCTAATTCTCCAACCTGAGATTAATTGATCCATAACTTTCGTCCTCCGGCTCACGGAGACCTAAGATTAAGTGTCGGCTGGTTTTGGGTTTCTTCGAGACGACATCTTCATATAATGTCTTTCTCATCGCACGCTAATTCATCGTCCTTTTCCGATATCTGATTTCTTGAAATTTTAATTTTTATTAGGTATGACAGGTAGATTGCAGATAACATAAGTAAAGAGAAGATCCATTTATTGATGGTATATGTATTTTGTAAGAAATTTGAGATGCCGAGATCGCGGTTTGCCGAAACTG